TTTTTCTCTAAATAAATAAAACACACACACACATATATATATATATATATATAGATACACACACACACTATTGTGTCAAAACTTAGCATGCCACATTTGCATGCTGTTACTAAAAAATTTCTATTCTTCTCTCTCACATATACACTTAATCGTATGTCACCAATCATTCCCCAAGGTTGTGCGATTGCCTGGCAGAAGAATCTGGGTAGTTAATGCAAAAAAATCTATTTTAACTTGATGAGCTAGTATTTTCAGCGCTATTAAAAGGACCAAATGGTCATCCAAATTTGGTTTTAAAATTAATAATTTGTATTTTAAATGTCATTTGTTAAATCAGACTAGTTACACATTTGTAAAAGTTTAGAGGAATATTTCAAATTTTAAATGTCAATTTGGTAATTCAGATGGTTAAAGATGGAACAAGGGAAGGATATCTTTTGACATCCCATCCAGGGATAGATTCTCCCTTTTATAGTTTCCTAGTGTTTTCTTTATCTCTACCTCCTGCTACCATTCAATTGAGCAATTACACTTCTATTTTACTAAATCCACTTCTTATTCTCTCTAGTTCCCCCTTCTACACAAAATTTTGCTTCCCCAAACAAATCATGTATCAAAACTTAATCACAGCGTTTTCCATTAATGGATGTTCATCAACAATTGATATCATTGAAATTCAAAGATGGGGAAATAGCACTAAAAAGTATATTCTAATCATCTCATTGCATTTTGCTTTTCATCATCCCCTTCCATATACCACACCCATTTTGCATTTACATCACTATTTTCATAAAATCAAAAAAAGAGAAAAAACAATAAAAATGATAGCAATAATAATAATAATAGCAATAATGTAGGAAACCTAAAAACCATAAAACACCTAGCTATCCCCAACCATCATCTTTAGAACATGAAGAAAGAAGATATTAAACACAATAAAAATCATAAAATCTGCCTAAATTAACTTACTTCAAATTTCATATCATGTCTACTATCCAACCCACTTTTAACATAAAAAATTCAGGAATTCATCTTAATTGTGCCATAAAACCAACATGCCCCCCATATCAAGTGACAAAGCTTTGTAAAAATCCTAAAAGTATCACCTAATAGCTTGTGCATAATTCTTTCGCACTCGCTAATCCAACAAATCAATGTACAAAACTCCTCATCAAGCTTGTATTACAAATACAAGTCTAAAATTTAAATTAGCCAAGCATTTCAAATGTGAAATTGCATCGCTCAGCAAGTTAATAATGTTTTAAAATATTATGCATGCATTGTTATCCGACATAGATCCACCTATGCCTCATAATTCACTATAAATGACCTTTGACACAATGCTCTTTTTCACAACACTGCAAATATTCATCACTTCATCAGGCCTACATAGTTGCACCAGTTTGATTCATTAGCTTGGGTAGTAATACACAAAAACACCCTCATTCCAAAATCCCTAGCACAACTATTAAATCGTAAATAGCCCATTTGCAAGCAACAATAATTCCCCTACTACATGAAGTCTTTCAAAAATTATAATGACATTGTTGAGGATCAAAGTTCAGAGCCATTTATTAATATTGCAACTTTAGTCTTGTGTTTCCCCTTTGCCCCTCCCTCAAGTAGGGTTTCTCAATCATCATCTCTTCTTCAGAATAAATTTATCATTTCTCTGTTCTTCAGTATGCATGTCATTAACATTGCACTAGCTTTGCAAAACTGCAATGGCCTACATTCCTTTAGCAATATTATAACTTCTAAGAGTAAAGTACATTGTAGCACATGAGGAAGTGAAGAAACATGAATCTAGTCAATCCTCACGAGTCATCAATCTGTATTTTCAAAATTATTAAATGTATTGTCGGGACTTCAATAATCTTCAAGTACATATTAATGGTTTCAAGGACATTTATTGCTTAATGTAGAAAGGTAGAGAAAATCATATTTTCTTATATCTTAATAATCAAATTACAACTCTTCTTTTTATATAATAGGAAAAAACAATGACAAGCTTAGTTACAATCATTACAACTTATCAAAGATAAACTAACTCAAGATGGAAAGAAATATGACATAACAAAAAAGAATAACAATAAAAAGAAAATTCAAAAATCCAAACTCCCTCTCAAGCTGGGTCATAGATGTTATTAAAGCCGAGCTTAGTATTTAAATAAGTGAACCTACATGGAGGTAGAGATTTAATTAAAACATAAGCAACTTGAAGATGAGTTGGGATGTAGATTACGCCATTGACATTTTTCAGAGATAAAATATTTATTAATCTTGAAGTGTTTGGTCCTATCATCATGCACAAAATTCTTTGCAATATAAATGGCGGCTTGGCTAACACAGAATATCTTTATGGGATTGACCGTAGAGTATTCCAACAACTTTATAAACTCTGGATCCACGTTCCTTCACAAGTTCCCAAAGCAAGTGTCTGGTACTCAAATTTTTCACTACTTCTAGAGACGACTACTTGGTTTTTACTCTTCCATGTAACAAGATTTCCCAAGACATAGGAACAATACTCAGAAGTGGATCTTCTGTCAGTAAAGATATCTTGCCCAACAAGCATCTATGTAAACCTCTACCACCCTATTACCTGATTTCTTAAATAGTAATCCTCAGTCAAGGCCCTTTTAACAAATCTACATATTTTGCAAATCATCTCCAAATGTTCTTCGATCGGACCATTAATATGTTGGCTCACAATGTCGACTTAGTAAACGATATTAGGTCTCGTGTAAGACAACTAGATAAGCTTACCCACCAATATCCGGTATCTTTTTTTTTCACTGATCTCTTTTCTCCCCATCAATGTAACTTTTCATTAAAAATCATAAGAGCCTCTGCAGGTTTGCATCCCAACATCCTTATCTCTTTCAATAGGTCTAATATGTATTTTCTTTATCATATCACAAAACTCATCTTGAACCTGGCCACTTCCATGACCAGAAGGTTTCTTAATGATCATAGACCCTTAATTTCAAATTCAGTGGCACGGATCTCCTTAATCATCCTAATCTTCATTTTATCATCACATGTTAGGATCATATCATCTTCAAAGACAATCAGTATAGTCTTCTTACCCCCTTATGTATTCTTAATGAACAGTGTTAACTTACTTGGCTTTAGATGTATCCATTAAATTTTATAGACTTGGCAAACTTGTCAAACAAAGTCTTGGATTGTTTGAGGTCATAAAGTGATTCTCTTAATTTACAAACCAAATGTTTAACCAAGTTATTTCTCAACCCTGGTAGGATTTCCATATACACTTCATCCTCAAGGACTCCATTTAAAAATGCATTCTTAACAATAATTTGATGCAACACTTAATATTTGTTTACAGCCAAGGAAATAAAAATTCTGACAGTATTTAACTTGGTCAATGGAGCTAATGTATCTTGATAGTCTATTCCATAAAACTGACTGAAATCTTTGGCCAACAAAATAAACTTGAATCTCTCAAAGCTCCCATTTGCTTCGTACAAGAGATTGAAGACCCATTTGCACCCAACTGATCTTTTCAGTGGAGAAAGCTTTATAAAGATCTATGTGTCGTTTAAATCAAGTTCTTGAATCTCCTCTTCAGCTGTCTTTTTCCATTATGGACTTTGAAGTACTTCACACATAGACTTGGTATCTACACACTTGCAATATTAGATATAAATTATTATAAGTTGACGATAACATCCCATAGACAACATAATCTTGGATAGGATAATTTTTCCAACTTTGCCCTGAATTTCATTTCCCTTGGAACTTCAAAAATTTGTGAATTTAAGTTTGACAGTGAATAGTCTTTATCTTGTTCAATGAATTTCTTTCTCCAAATATACACACAGTTTCTTGCTAACAATCTTAATTTGGGTGCTCTCAACTAGTAGAACTTGATAGACGGGATGGTTAGAAGAAAAGAGAATAGGTTCTAGATTTTTGTGATTTTTGTGAGTATCTAGAATAGTATCCCAAGTGCGAGATTCGCCTGAACTCTCCCCTGAATATCAGATTTGGGATAGTAAGATTGATTTTCAAAGAAGGTAGCATCTATGGAGTTATACTACTTTTTTTTTTGTAATTAGAGAATAGCACATTTACCCTTTTTTGTTAGAAGCATATCCAAAGAAGATACAATTAATAAATTTTAAGACAGTTTGTACGGTTTAGCGGGTGAATGAGAACAAAGGATACACAACCAAAAGTTTTTAAAGGAGGATAGCAAGAAGGCTGGTTGAATAAGAACAAAAGATACACAGCCAAACATTTTTAAAGGAGGATTGTAAGAACGCTCTGAAAAGAGAGTATTTTTCCATCTAAATATCGAGAGGGGTTTTGAATCCATTAATCCTGCTTATCATTCTATTAATGAAGAAGTTAGCTTAGAACGCAGCAACTTCTCAGAAAACTTTTGGAACATTATTAGAAAGTATAACAGACCTAGATACATTGAAAAGAAGTCTAATTATTCCTCAACAATTTCATGTTGATGTGAAGTTTCAACACAAGAACTCACGTCGATGGTACATTCTTTGCAAGACTGTCTAGGAATAAAACTGAATTACTGCTTTGCATTATCGATTTTGACGACTTGAATTTTATATTAGAACTGAGTGTAACTCATATTATGAAA